AGCACTCGCGGTTTCCCCTAGCATCAGTTTCCTTGTCTATACAGGGTGGTCCACAGACCCCTTCCTTTATTTTACTTACTGTACCGGATGCAGGCGTGCGGGCGGGTTGCATACTCGCACGGGGCCATAAGGCGCCGCTGGGAGCGACGGTTGGCAAGCCCGCCCGCACGCCTGCATGCGGTACAGTATAGGCAAAATAAAGGAAGCAGGGGCCTGTGGTCCAACCGGTAGATTGGTTCTATTTTCCCTGTCGAGATAGGCAGGGTGACCATCTGAAAATTTTAATAATTCTGTTTTGTGCAAATACTAGCTGAAGTAGCTAGCTGAAACATTAACATTATCTTTGAATATTTGTGTTTAATGTGAGTGTTTTAAGGCATCATCTGCGAAAACAAAATAAGAAGAAACGGTGCCCACGGCTGTCAGACGGTCTCCTCGACCATGTCGAGCGATTCACCCCTTTGCATGGCAGCAGCCGTTTATCTCGCGCCGACAAGGGAGCACGATGGGTTGCTTGGCTCCGGGTTGGACTTTGGGATTGGGACTTTGGTCGGGTACGGTACAGTTTGTAATGCTCCCTACCCCTACCTACCGGGTTGGGTGCGCCCAGCAGCTATATTAGCAATGCGCCTGGGAAACTGTAAGGTATGCAACCGTCAGCTTGGAGAATACACGGGCGCTGAGCGCGCTGTCTACGTGCTAGGCGAGCAGCTCTCAGCACCTGCGGGGGGCTGACGCAGTGTGGCATGAAAAGAAGTAGGTCTCTCCAAGCAAAATTTGTACTAAGACGAAAACTTCATACATTTTCGCAGTTAGTTTTGTTGGGCTGGGTTTGAGTGCTGCCACAGCTGGGTGTTGGACCGAGTGCATGAATACAAAGATAAACCACACAGGGCTTATCTCTCGTGATCGTGTTTTGAGTGGTATGTTTGTGTTGCAGGGATTTGGGATGGACATCTGTCCAAACAGCGGAGGAATATTTTTACACAGTTCTATATTTGGAGCTAAATTAGTGCCAAACGACAATTTACAAAGTTTCACAGTTTATCAGAGACTAGAATGCATGTTGTTTTCTTTTTTCTTCCAGATCTTCAGGGATACTCGTTGAAAGGATACGTCGGGTGTTCACTCGTCAATCTGCAGGGAAAAAAATGTTTAAGAATAGAATGTTTTCTTATCGATTTGAAAAGTAAAAGTTTGCTGAAATTATACTGCGTCGTTTCAAGTATGCAGGAAATTATGCCTACCCAGTGATAAACTTGAAGTCGAAGATACGTCCGTCTTTGCCCTTGTCTAGTGCGTCCAGCTTCTTAATGTCTTCCGCTTCAAGCTTAAAATCGAAAATATTGATGTTCTGTGTGAGACGCTCCTTGCTCAGGCTCTTGGGAATGGCCACGATACCACGATTCACAATGTGCTTCAATAGAATCTGTCCGGGAGTCTTATTATATTTCTTGGCCACCTCCACAACCACGGGGTTCCGGAGCAAATCAGGAATAGTTATACTAGAAGAAAATGAACCAGTTACTTATTTTGCAATGCACCCAGTAAAAAGCGTAGGCTGCAATTCCAAATAAGCCCTTAATCATAATGTACGTTTTTCTTTAAATTTCCTTACTTTCCGCCGTATCTGTCTCGAATGGTTACGTCAGAGCCAGGGCTACCAATTGGAGAATAGGCGGTGACAACAATGCCGTTCTTGTGGCAGTATTCGACTAAGGGTCGTTGCTGCATGTACATGTGGAGTTCAACCTGTTTGAAAGACACGAGAAAAAAAACTATTATAAGCTGTTGTTTGTGCGTCTTCATGTGGCCTAGAAAACGTCTTTTAAAAAATCTATTTTTTTCAGACAGTGTTTTTGATTTGAAGATATTTTACTTGTTTTTGGTATACAGACCTGGAGGTTGGCTGGTTTGATGCGACAAATATCTAAAATATTCTGAATTTGTCTTTTATTGAAGTTGGACACTCCGATACTTTTTGCTAGTCCCGCATCCACAAGTTTTTCCATTTCCTACAAAAGGCAAAACATTAAAAATGAAAACAGATTATAATATAGCTCGGGGGTCACCCTCTCTTTCTTTCGCCAGTTTTTTTCGAACACGGCAGTAATTAAGACGTGAGTCCGTGAGTCCACTGTACGCTAGCTCGTTAGCGAAACTGCGTGGAGCGCCTGCAACGCGTTAGGTAGGCCAACCCGCCAAGCAGCTGTGTAGAGTCGGCGGCCCACCCTGAGACCCCCCTCTCAAGGCCCCGGTGCGGGGCTCAGTCGACCGGAACGTTTGTCGCCCAACGATGCTCTCAAACAACGCCAAAGCCTCGGCCAAAGCGTACTCACCTTCCAGACGGTGACGTGGTCCGTGTCGTCCTCGGCGTGCCCTTTGCCGTCCGGTCCGATGGGGCTGCCGTTCTCGTACACCTTCATGGTATACGGCATGTGCACCAGGTACATGTCGACGTAGTCCATGCGCAGCTTCTCGAGGGAGCTCTTCATCCACTTCTCGGCACCGCCCGGCCTGATTCCCCATGGCGGCAGTTTGGTGCAGATGAACAGGTCCTCGCGCTTCAGCTTGCCCGTCGCGATCCAGTTCTCCTGGATAATCTTCCCGATGACGTCCTCGTTGCCGTACGCGCCCGCCGTGTCGATGTGCCGGTAGCCCGCGCGCAGTGCCTCGTCCAGGGGACCCTCCAGCTCTCCGGCGGCAGCCTGCACGCGACAAAAATGTGGGGGTCACTTTGCTATATACTCCATGCAAGGAGCAGTTGTAGGTTATGATTTACTTCTTTACGATGCTGCTCCGTTTAACCCCGACAAAAAAATAAAATCCCCTCATACTAACGCGGCTATCGTATGCCTGATATGATCCATACAGAATGGGCAAGGGCACTGGCAACCCCGCCGCGATTGGCTCAGACCGGACCATTTGAATGAGTAACAGAGCGCCAAGTTCACGGGCAGGTTTTTTTTTTTTTTTTTAAACCGGAACCTCCCGACCTTCTCCTTGGGGATCATTAGGCCTTTTGGGGTGTTAAGTCGGGCAGTCATAAACAGACGTTTGAATAGTTTGACTTCAACTTTGACCTACCTGCCAAGTCCCGTATCCCAGGAGGGGCATTTTATCGCCATTGCGCAGAGTAGCGAAAGCTGTGCTGGCCATGTCTGCTGTCGGTGTGTTCCCTTGCTCGCACTGAGACCGACTGCCCTCACGCCTGTACCGGCACAGGCAGATAAAGTCGCTACTTATCCACTCGTGCCCCCCACCCCACCCCAGCTGGTCAAGCGCGAACGCACCCGGTCACTTTGGGCTAATCTCTGTCTGCAAATACCATTCGAAATATGAACCCTTAATGTGAAATTACGGATGATACGGCGGGCGGCTCGGTTACACAATATGTTGCAAAGTCGAACGAAGTTCACAGTGTTCGGTAGTGCCTCATCCCAGGGCCGCACAGCGCGGTTCGTCTATTTTCCATTATCGTGTCCCCCCCCCCCCTTTTCTCCCACCTCGACCCCCACTGAAGTCCTAGAGGACTCTGGCCCCCCACCACCCACCCTGGCGTGTCTCGTGCCCGGACAGCCACGGATGTGACCGTCTCTGTCTGTCTGTCTGTCTGTCTGTCTGTCTGTCTGTCTGTCTGTCTGTCTGTCTGTCTGTCTGTCTGTCTGTCTGTCTGTCTGTCTGTCT